TATGCTCTAAAGAAAAAAACTTCTGTGTGATGCACTTCAAACACAATTTAAAAAGCATTTCCTGAAGATCTGTGATAAACCGCAACACAGTAACCAAATAGCAAAGCCTATCATTATAATTTTGAAATGAGAGGCCACAGTAAGAACTTCTAAATTTTGCTAGACTTTCCCCCTTATTCAACAAAATGCTTTGGAGGTCATTTTAGGAAGGGCTGCGTATTGACCTCAACTTCACAACTGTAGTTATGTATACGTGCCGTGTACGCAGACACCAATGAGGACCTGCCTCCCCTCTACCAACACAGGACACTCAGAAATGGCTGAAAGAAAAACTGCCCTCTAAAATTTAAGGTATAAAACTAACACACAAAAATCATACCAAAAAGCATGAAAAAAGTTGTCTTCAAAAGGCTTTCAGGGTTTTATAACTTCCCTGTTTCCTAACCAGAGGTTTGAAAATTTAAAAACTCCAACCACATGTAAATTCAAGCTGAACAAGGACTTTAAGACCAAGGAAGGCTCTCTGTAAATAAGAGATTGCAATGAATTTAATTAAAACCCATGACAGCATGATAAAAATGTGATTATCAAACATAATATAAGATTTTAAAAGAATTCCTGGAAAGACATACCCTTAAAGAAAAAATATAAACCTGAATCCAAAATTTCATAAAAATTTTTTTTTTTAATCCTAGGGGTTAGGTAAAGGGCAAGAGGGAAGAAATAGGCTAATAGAGAAGTAAAAACCTACCGAAGCTCTGTTTTTTGAGGGCAGTGACACTGTACAAATTAATTTCATCTGGCATGACATAGAGGCTCAAAATACGACTGCTAATTTACAGTGGTATGCTAAAAATGTAGCCCGTTAGTAATGGAAGAAGTGGCACTATACTTGTTTGTGCTATAAGGACATTTTATAAACAAGCCTGTATTCTCTTAGTAAAGGGAAGAAACAGAGATATTTTACAAAAGAAAAGAGTTAATTTGAAGAAAAGTGGGTCAGTCACCACCACACGGAAATGGGAGTCACAAACAGTAATAGTTACTGAGAGTTTCCTAAATACCAGGTCCTCTGCTAAATGTTTTACCGTTTAACTTGAATCCTCACAACCACCAAGTAGATAGTGTTCTTAGTCTCAATTTAGAGATAAGAAACAGCGGATTTGGGAAATTACGTAATTTGCCCAAGGTCACACAACTACTCAGTGGCAGAGCTGGGGTCCTGGGGTCCAAACCCAGGTGTTTCTTATTCAGCTGGCAAATGTCTTAATCATGCTGTAAACAGTCTTCTCGAGAGGCAAACAGAAGCAGTGCCACCTAATCACTGCCCAGAAAAGCTACCCAGACTCAAAAGAACTTGTCTGGTCCGGGAGGCAGTACCACTCTCCTTATGAAGATATGTAAGGTTTTCAGGGCAGCCTCTGTTCTCTGATTTCAAGCTCACCAAGTTCTGGCTCCCAAGGGGCCTGCCTACAGGGAGATCGTGGCACACGTCCTCGAGGCCCTTGGCAGTTCCATAGCTCCTCGTTAATTACTGAACTTGCATCCGGTTTTACTGGGGTGACAGGGATCTCACTCCCTGCAGCATTGGTTTTTAAGTCTGACCTATAGACTGTGCCGATGCTGTTAAGGTAATAATGCCCCGTAGGAGTGGCTGTGCCCGACTGACATCCCCTTGTCTTGCCACCCCCACCAAACCCCTATAACATATGCTTACAATACTGGAGAGAAAATTTCCTAATTGCCCTTAAATTCTATAAAATCTCACACAGCCTCTCTTGAAAGTGTTGTGAAACTCAGAATGAATGATATGCAGAGAATTCTGACAGCTCTGAGAGGCTGTTGCTATAATAAACAGCAATGTTTTCCTATGAGGATAACTGTTTTCCCCTTTTTAAAGGTCACTTTCCATAGTTCAAATATGGTGAATTTAGAAAACAGTTAACAACCTAAGTCAACTAAATTGAATGTAAGCATATTAACCTTTGTTTTTAGGCTCTTCTTGTATTATAAAATATCTCAGACCAAATAAATAAATAAATAAATAAAACTAAAAAACAAATATCATATACCTAAACATTCAGCTTAAGAAGTAAAATACTACTGATATAGTTGAAGCCTCTGGATACAGTGTTATAAGGGTATTATCCTGTAGCTCTTGTAATTGTCATAATAAAAGTGAAATGGTATTCAATTAAGCAAGAAAAGCAAAGACTTTTTCTCCCCCAATTTAAATTTGGGCAGTAGCAAAGTTTATCAGCCAAATCGACATACTACGATAATTCTGAGTTTGCTTGGTGGGAGAACAGTCAAAGACAACTTACCAATATGTCTTGGTATGAATCTTATAAATGATGTATGGACACAAGCTTAGAACAGGTGTTGCTGACTCAGGTTATTTCTGAACAGTCATTCAGTACGATTAGCCTTGGGGCTTGAGCCATCTGTTTACACGCTACAGAGCAAAGCTTCTGAAGCTTTGAAACCAAAGATTTGCTTATACACATACAAACTAAGTTCCTAATGATGACTGCCATTAAATGCTGGAAATGGTGGGACAGCCTGTGCAGGGGCAAGACATTTTCTAGGGGGTCACATCTGCTCCCTCTCAAAGCATTCTACACCCTTCTGTTAAAAATCATTATAAACCCACAGCTGCGTGAAGGTGCTGCTTCCTGAGTGTGATAACCTCAAATACAGGACAGCAGATTCTCTGGACTTCTTGACGAACAGAGAATGAAGGTAAGAACTGAGGGTTCAGTTCAACCTGTATTTACTGAGCGCATTCCATGCCTGGTATTATGGGTACAAAAATAAATTAACCAGTCTCTCAAGATGTTGACTCTGTAGAGGTGGTAGGCAGACCTGGTGCAGGAGGAAGAAATTATAGGAAAAAGAAACCAAAATAAGAGAAAAGGAAAAATGTGTGAGGAAAGTAAAAACGGTGCCATAAATGCAAGGCAACAGGAGGCCAAGCTCTTCTGGGTTACTTTCTCCTCCTAGGACTGCTCCCCATCCTCTGTTCAACCCTGAGGGTCTGCTACATCTTTTTCTCTCCTGGACAGCCTCCTACCCTCTCCCAGCTTTGATTAATTAACTGACCTTAGCTGATGATTCCAAAATCTCTTTTCTCCAGCCTGGATTCTCACTTGAGCTCCAGATCCACACAGGCCTCTGCCCGCTCGACATCTCAATTGGAATCTTAAAGTAGATACTTTCAGACTGAACTCATCACAAACCTCTCTGTATCTCCCCCAAACCTAATCTTCCTTTTATGTTTCCTCTCTCAGCTATAGCCTCCACCTTTTACTGGAAACCTAAGTTTCAAGCTGGACCCCCGGCCAGCCCTTCCGCCAACACTCAGGAGATAGGTCCTGAATACCTCTAGATTCCACCCACTTCTCTCCATCCAAATCCAAATCCAAGTGACCACCATCTGTACCACAATTACTCCTTTCTAATCAATCCCCAGAGGGCTCACTCTTCACAAACACCAATCATATACCACACCCCTGTTTAAACACCCTTCGCTAACTTTTACCCTACTGCTTTCAGGACAAGCCCAAACCCTTTAACAAAACCCCCTGCATTACACGGCCCCTGCTCTCAGACTTTCCTCTCCCCACTTCAGGCTCCAGGTAGGTTACCTGCCTCATGTCTTTGGGCCCTGTTCAGTTCCTTTTTTCAGGGTTGGGGAACATCTGACCAGCGGGCCATACACTGCCCACAAAATCACTTGGTCTGGGCCCTGCCAAGGCAGCCACAGGCAGGACTCGAAATTCAATAAATCTAGGAGATTTTCATAGCTAATTTTTAAGTCGATGATTTTGTATGGCCCTAGAATGATGTTATAAATATCCAAATGGCCCCTGGTAGAAAAATGTTCCCCACTCTTGCTTTACTGGGACAGTCTTTTCTAACCCCTAATAGAACCACCCTGCTCAGATATCCTTCAGGTTCCAGCTCAGACATCACTTGCCCTGGGAAGCTTTCCCTTTACTGCCCCACCCTATTGTCTATAGCACCCTCCACTTCCCATATCCTAGCACAGACCAGGACTCTCTTCTTACTGGTATCAACACTAGGGTAAGCTCCTAATACATATGTGCTTGGCACTTAAGTCTTCAATACTGAATCATCCAATGATTGGATGGTCACCAGGGGCACAGTTTATCTATTGCTGACTCTAATAAACTACAACATCGGGGCATTTCCAGTTAGGAAGTGGTTATGTGGAATAACCAGTTTCTCCACCTTTCTCTTAATCTACAACCAGTGGGCCAAAGTATGGAAGGGTCCTAGGTCTAATTACAGCCCTATTCTTCACAGGCCTTACTTAGCATTTTCAATTTAAGGCACTACGTGGATACTTACGGACTCTACAACTTCCTACTGACTAGATGAGGGGTTTTCCAGGGCAAACCTCCCTATGATTACTACGACAGGCTAGTTATTAGAGCTTGGCTTTACAAGCACATTAAATCACACAATCCCCCTGAGGGATCAGCACCCCTGTTATCCCCATGGTTCAGATGAGGAAACTGGAGTGCAGAGAGGTCACATAACTTGCCCAAGGTTAAACCACCACAATCCAAACTCAGGTAATATGTCTCTAGAATCTTGGCCTGGCCTGCGGAAGACACTGAATGCGGAATGAATGAATGAAGTCCATACACTGTCCTAGATCAGGATGATCACCATGTGGGATTATACTAGAAAAAGGAAAGTTGATCGTCCAATACGCATTCATATTTGATTCTGAATTACGTCTTGGGAGAACACATAAACATTTTAAAAACTCGGGCACTGTTCATCCTCCTAGTGGATACCCCCGAGGAAAGACCTCTCGTTCTGTATCTATTGCTTCCTCATGGGGCTGTGGGCTTGCAGGCTGAACTCAGATACCGTGGCCAGGGCCATGCCTTGCCCACGCACGGCCAGCGCAGGTGACAGTGACTGAGGAGTAAGGCGACAAGCCGGCGGCCTTGTTTGCGGCTTACCTCCCGCAGCTCCAGCCTCTGGGCCACAGCCTCCAGGCTCTCCTGGCCCGTGCTCTCCACGGACAGCGTGAACTCCACGAACTCGTTATTGAGCAGCTGGATCCGGGCAACCAGGCAGCTCTTGCTGGACACCGTGTAGCGCCGGGTGCGTTTCAGCTTCAATCCAAAGGGCAGTGGCATCTTCTTCTCTTTTCAAGAGTGGCGGGGTGAAGAGGGACAAGCACGGCGGCGGACGCGGGGCGGTGCCCGGGGGGCGGGGCGAGGCTCCCGGTCCTGCCCGGGGTGCGGCACAGTCGCAGGCTGCTCACCCCGCGGCCGCTGCCATCAAACCGCGGCGGAGAATCCACGCGCCAGGTGCGGGGGGCATCCACGCCGGCGCTGCGGGGAGAGGGACACGGTCACACGGGAGCGGCAACTCTGGACTTGGCTTTTTTTAAAAAAATAAACATCGATAGAGCTATAGCCAAAGAACAAGCGTTCTCTCCCCTCTGGGAAGAGAAGGCACGGCCAGGGCTCGGGAGGCCGTGGGCAGCTGCATCCCCGCTGCCCCGGCCCTGGGCCAGGAGGCCGCCCCTCACTCGCCCTGCAGACGGGGCGGCAGTGCCAGGACTACAGGAGAGCAGCCTGGCACCATAAGCCAAGGGGGGCAGCTAGCACGAAGCGGCCCTGTTTCTATTTTGTTGGGGTTTTTTTCATAGTTAACTCTCTTTGGCTCCCCCAATACTCCAAACGTGAGGGTCTTGAGTCCCCAGGTGAGTTGACTGCAAAGCGCCTCCGAAAGAGCTACGTGCAAGCCTCAGCCCCCCGAAAGGCAAACTCGCCCTGAGCGCAAAGGGGAGGAGTGACCCCCTCCCCACCTACAGCAGCTGTGGGTTCAAACGAGGTGACGCGCTCAACAAGCATTTGTAGAACCCGCTCGGCTGTGCAGTGACGTCACCAAGCTGGCTGATTTCTAAACAAATCATAAAAGACCCCACACATGCTTGTTATCGGATTACTACGCGGCGCGTCCCAGCTCTGCGGGGCGCCGTCCGGCCCCGTGCGTGGGGCGCCCCAAGAGGCGGCGGCCCTTCGCCTAAGCGACGCCCAGCGCAGCAGAGGCGGCCGAGGGCTTAACCATCCAGGGTTAACGGGGGGCGGACGGGGTTCAGCCCGCCGGCGAGGCTGAGAGCTCGGCGGGGCGCCCGGGCTCGGGCTCGGGCTCGGCTCCGGCTCGACTCCTCCCGGAAAAGCTCGCGGCGTTGCCAGGCCAACGCGCAGCCTCGGAGGCCCCGGAACCCTCCGCCCGCGGCTGCGTTTCCCGACGGACGCGCTGGGGAAGGGCCGGCCCGGCGGCTCCCGGAGGGAACTTTTAAAGGTCCCAGCTCGAGACCCCACGGGTTTGGGCGCCGCCCGTCTGATTCCCGGTGTGGCGCCTCCAGCCTCCGAAGGAAGCGATTTACAACGTTTTGAATCACACCTGTGGAAGGTAACTCCCCGGCTGAAGCAAACGGGGCCCGAGCGGCAAGTAGGGAATCTGACATTAGCCGGATAAGTTTTTCCCTGTGAGCGAGTCGACAGCACCCCGAGATGGTGCCCACCCTCCGTTTTCTTCTGAGCTGAGGCTGCCCCGAGGATGAATCGTTCAGCGAGGCTGGGCGGTGGCTGGTGACCCTGAACTTGGGTCCGGAACCGTGCAGAGGGGCAAGGTGCGCCCCCAACCCTCTCATGTGGCAGACGCGCAACCCAGGCCTCGGCTTCACAGTAGGATGGAAAGAGCTGGGCATCGACCCCAGATTCCTCTTTCCCACTGACCTCGTCTCAGCCCCAGAGGTGATGGGCACTCGGGG